TGGGGTACAGGCCAGTGGTGTTGGGGGTGAGGGGATTCACCAGAGACAGAGTGGGGAACAAACTAGGCAGACTGATTGAAATACACTGCTGATGGGAGCAGCGGGAGAGTCAGGAAAGGTCTGCTGTGTCATGTGGGTAGCTCCCTGGCTGGGGATCAGACTCTTGTGCTGCAGAGGCTGCAGACAGCTTTACAGGCTGCGTCTTAACCCCTTGAGCCATGAGCGAGGCCTTGGTGCCGTAATTTGATATGACTCACAGACTTCCATTCAGCACCATCAAAAAAGTTCTTGGATCTTTCTATTTCCCTTGCTTTGCATTTCAGTTGGCTTGTCTCATCTTCACAGAAGACTAATCTATCTTACTATTTAAAGTATTAATATTATGTGGATACTTTTTGTCAAAATCACTTAGTTGAAGTGTTTTTGACCCTGGGAACTACCAAAGCTGCAGAGCCCAAAACTTGTTTATGCTCATTCCTCTCCTCTAATTCCTGCCACCCCCAAATTTTCTCCCTACTCCTTAAGACAAGGTCTAAATTTCAAGGTCTTTATGGTAACATCATTAGAACCATGAGAATAACCTGGTAACTGGGGCAGTAAAACAGTTCCTCTGTAATTATATAATAGAGCATTGTCCCTAGCTTCTCAGCTTGGAAGTCCTAGTCCTGCTCTCCCCAACCATAAATCACTCTTACGTGTGTTAAATGTTTTGCTGGGTAACCAGGCCATACTGTATAGTATAATCATGAAGAGCCTAGGCTTTAGAATCAGATTTGGATCTACATATGGATTTTGTTCATTGTTTTTAATTTTTCTGAGGCTCAGTTTCTTTTTTTTTTTTTAATAAATTTTATTGTTATATTCCCCATACAATTGCAGCCCCCCCATTCTGACCCCAATCCCTCCCCTCCCACCCCCGCCCCCCTAAAAGTGTCTCTGGTTCATAGTTTTTTGTTGATTTTGATTTTCACTTTCTTATAGTTATTCATTTTCCTGGTCCCTTATTTAAGTTTTCTAGATTCCTGCTATGAGTGAGACCATCCGGTATTTTTCTTTTTCTTTTTGGCTTATTTCGCTGAGCATGATCCCTTCCAGCGCCATCCATGTTGCTGCAAATTGCATGTGTTTATCTTTTTTGAATGCTGAGTAATATTCCATGGTATATATGTACCACATCTTCTTGATCCAGTCATCTACTTTTGGGCATTTTGGTTGTTTCCAAAGCTTAGCTATTGTAAACAGTGCTGCTATAAACATAGGGGTGCAGGTGTTCTTTGGAATTGATGTTTCTGTGTCCTTTGGGTAAATACCTAGGAGTGGAATTGCTGGATCATATGGAAGCTCTATGTTTAGTAGGTCCAGAAATCTCCATACAGCTTTCCACAGTGGTTGGACCAGTTTGCACTCCCACCAACAGTGCAGAAGAGTTCCTTTTTCTCCACACCCTCGTGAGGCTCAGTTTCTTTATAAAATTTACTTACAGGGTTGTAATCAGGTTAAGATGAAATACTGTAAAATACTTAGTGTATGTGTGAGACGTACAGACTTTTACCTGCTAGTTGTCCTCAGGTTTGTGGGAATCATTAACTGTCTCTATAATAATCCCCAGTATAGAGCATGCTGGGCTTGCCATTTAAAGTTTGAGCATGCTTCTGAGAAATTACAGATTAATCCCTGTAGCCCACCGGATATTCATGTTTTGGTAGTCTTTTGTACATTCACTTGGTGACCCTCTTGAGAGATTTAGTGTGTGTTTTGTAGTCTAAATTTTAAGTCAGAGGACCTCCGTGGTCTCATCACTGTGAAGCTACGAGTTCAGTCCCTGGCCAAGGAGATGACCCACATGGCACACAGCCGACCTCTCCGTCTTGCCTGCTGCTTCCCTCGGCAGTGGATTTCAGTCAGTACACCTGTTTTGCTCTCCACTGTCTCTGGTGAATTCTCTCACCCCCTGCACCTCTGGCCTGCACCCAGCTCTTGTATGCATAAATAAATCTTTAAAATTTTTTTTTTAAGTCAGACCGTACTGAAAATACCCTGAACATTTAAATAAACTTTTCCAACTATGCCTAGTAATATGGGATAGACTTGATTTTACTTATAAAGTACCTGATTTTTCCTGTTAGCCTAGCACTATGAATGACATTTGTCCTGTTAGATGAGAACTTTTCAAGTGCCAAAAAAGCAGCTTACAAACGGATTTTGTAAGTAGGCCAGGGACTTCATGTGGGCATAAGAAATACTACTTATAATTACTGGTCCTGTAGAGTGTTTGAAGTTGAATATATTACTTTAGTGGGCTGAAGCTTTTACTTCTTTGACAGTTCAAATTTTTGTATACAGTATGACCTTTACAGTGCAAGGACATTTTGATAACTTCAGTTAGTCTGAATTTAGAAGATTATAATTCATGCTGAAAATAATCAATGCTTTATTTTCACTTGTTCCTTTTCATTAGATGTAATAATCTAAATTATATCAAAATTGAATGAAGAAGTATTTTGTATGAATTAATAATGGAATAATATATAGAAAATGTTCCAAAATATACTTCATAAAATTATAGGGTCGGTGCTTATGTAAAAAAATGCTAGACTACATTGGGAACAATATTGGCAATTTGAATAATTATAGCCTATTTGCAAAACAATCAGGTACATAATTACATAATACAGCTATATGAAGTCCTGTATTTTGTGCATCAAGAAGAATGTGTGAGAGCCAGAAAGCATCAGAAAATGGCAACTAAATCATCATGAGTCTAGAGTGACTTAAGAGACATGCCTTCACTGTGGAATAATCCTTAGGGATATTGTTAGGAAAATTTTAGAGTTGCAGGGGGAATTAAGGTTGATATAGTTCAGCCTGTTACTTAATGCAGGTATTTATCTTATGGTAATCCTAACAAATGACTAAGCTTCCTCTGTTTGAATATTGGATGGTGCATGCTGCCTAGGTTTAAATCCTATACCTACCACATCATTAACCTCTCTGCATTCCATTTTCTTGGCTTTCTGTTGCCAGGAGCTGTATCTCTTGTAATAAAGACAAAAGGGATGTGGCTTCCAGCCCCTTTCCATATAGTATTGAGAGATGAGTTAAGAAACAAGTGTTAGTGCTATACAACCTGTGAAAATAGGTATACTCAAGATACAGTTGTTCCGTTATAAAGGGTGTTTACAGTATAGATGCGAGGGGTAAAAAGGAGGTACAAAGAAGCTTCATAAAACAGATGACTCTGTTCATTGAAAGAATTTCTATTGATATTCCAAGTTCTGCTTCTACAACAATACAAATCAGTCAAATCAGTTTCATTCTGTATGACAACTCTCACTTTATCAAATGTAAAATTCTAAAAGATATAGTTTGGGTAAGTGTGGACTCCCTCTCTACTTCCCATAAAATCCATAGTTTTTTTGTTTGTTTTTCATTTTTTTATTTTCATACATCACTGTTCATTTTTGTACACTATTCAATTCTCCCTTCAGGTGTAGTCCCCATAATTTTTCCACTACCATAGCACCGTGACCATCACTGTAGTCCCTTGTGCTCTCCCCTCCCCTGTTTTCTTTATTTATTTTTACTATTTTTTAATTTTTTTACATAATTGTTCATTTTTTAAAAATATTTGTTCCCCCTTCCCCCCCTCCATGTGGTCCCCATAGAATTTCCTTCACCAATGCACCCGTGCACCATCACTTCAGTCCCCTGTGCTCCTCCCTCCCTCCCTCTAACCCCTCCCCCTCCCCTGCAGTATATCTCTGATTTATAATTGCCTGTTTTTGTTTTGTTGTGTTTTGTATTGTTATTATAAAATCCATAGTTTTGAAGAGATTTTATGTAACTTGGCTATAAATTAAGAAAAACAAAATGGACCACTAATGAACTTGTAAAACTCTTTGATCCAAGAAATTGAATGGACTATAAATTATAATTTATTTCCATTAATTCACAGATGGTAGTAGAGCAAAATTGGAAATTTGAAGTACAGACCTTTCAAGTTTTAAAGGACAGTTGACAACACAGGTTTGAACTGCATGGGTTCACTTAAAATATGCAGATTTTTTTTTCTCATTAGATAGAGTTGGCCTTTCATATGCAGGGGTTCCACATTCATGTATTCAACCAATAGAATATCATTTAGTTGAATCTCAATGGGGAACCTGCAGATATGAAGGGTTCTAGGTATTATGGATTTTGTAGGTTGCAATACAAGAGATGGCTGGGAGTTAAGTTTTGTAGTAAAGCATTATAAGCAGAATTTTTATTGTGCTGGTGTTAGTGCACCTAATTTCCATGTTCAAGGGTCAACTGATTTTTGAATCAAATTATAAAGATAATATTTTGTTCTCTTGTAACAGAGCAGGTAGTTCAGACTGCCGTCATACCTACACCTAATGATGTTAAACGCACTTCTTTAGCCTGTTGCTCCCACCTGCCTAACCCTGCCCTCAGGTACAAGATGGTGGCTTTGGAATTCTAAGGGCCTTGGAATTCTTCAGGATGGAGGAAGGAATAAAGAAGAAAATGCTGGGGATATTTCTATTTACATGTCATTGCCCAGAACATAGACTAATGGCCATGACTAGGTACAGAGATGCTATGATGCAGTCTCTAATCTGGATAGACATTTGCTCAGTGTAATTTGGGAGTCTTATAAAAGCAAGTTCTGTGGAACTACTTTGACATTTGTATCCCTAGTGCCTACCTAGTACAGCATTTGCCATAGTAAGTACTCATTAAGTACTTGTGCCATGGATGAATGTCCCTATTGTTCTGGTCAAATTAGGGATTGATCTGGATATTTACTTATATACATGATAAATCATGGCAAATTTTTCATCTTTGGTGTTTACTTTTTAACTTTCTTATCAAAGTTCTGAAACAAGGCATCCCTAACAAAGTGCAGGCAGATCTAATACTGTACAGATCTTATTTTAGCTCCTTTATTTGTGTTTTTCTCCCTTTTAAAACTTGGAGGTATATTAAACCTCTTTTCATGTGATTTTTTTTTTAAGATTTATTTATTTATTTATACAAGAACAGGGGTATAGATCAGAAGCGCGGGAGGGTGAGAGAATCCACCAGAGCAGGGAGCGGAGCAGGCAGAAGGACTGAAGTATACTGCTGAGGGGAGCAGCCAGGGATTGAACTGGCGCAAAGGCTGTGGGCGCTGCAGAGGCTGCGGGCGCTGCAGAGGCTGCGGGCAGCTTCGCAACCCAGCGCTCAACTGCTGTGCCACGGGGGAGGCCTTGTAATAGCTTCTTAATGGAGAAGCTTAGGAGATAATGTCACTTAACATCTTGGTTTCTAGTATACAGACTCTGGTGCCGGCAAGTAAAATTGAGTGTATAGATTTGGTGGCGAAATGGAAGAATGCTAGTTTTTATTTTGAATTGGGGCAATTTTGTGGTATTAACCCTGAAATATATTGAGTTGAAGAAGGGTCCAGAGTCATTTGTAGATAATTAGTAATTAGGTGAATGAGATACTAAAGGCTCTATTTTGGACCTAGGTTAGAAATCTGGGAACACTAAACTGTAAAGCACAGGTGGAGGCCATAAAGGAGACCATCTGAAAGAAGAACCAGGAAGAGTAGAGTCATCCCAAAAAGAGAGTGATCAGTGTTATTGTCCAATATGGCAAAAAGTACAGTTATCTGAGAACTGAAAAATCTACATAGAGTAATAATTAATGCAACTTTTGCGGCCCTCTGGTTTTAGTAGCAGATTGGAGGCAGAAGCCAGAATTTAAGGAAGCTAGAAAGGGAAGAGCCATTTTGAAAAATTATGAGGAAAGTATTGGCAACTACAGGAAGATACAGAGTAAAATGAAGATTGGGATGTGCAGAAGGGATGTTGATTGGCTGAAGAGAAGGAGCTATTATAATAGAAAATGGTGGGATGTAAGGACAGGGTAGAAAAGATGGACTCAAGGGTACAAATCGATGAGACAGGCCTTAAAGGGGAGAAGGGGAAGATGTCCCTGGAGGAAAGAGGGATGTAGATATAAGCAAGCCTTTTAAGATAAAGGAAACTGCTCCTAGTGACTTCTTCCTCCCTAAACAATAAAAGATGAATCTGTCTGCTGGAAGGGGTGAAAAATTAAATAGGTGTTATGAGGATGATGGTGAAAATTTAGGATAGCAATTGAGGGAAATAGGAGTGGGACTTAGAAATTTGTTCTCTGATTGAGGGATTTGCCTTTCCCTCAACAGTAAGGGAATGTTACGTGAAAGGGCGAGAACTATTATTTCACTTAATGTAAATATTATTTAGGATGTAGTATGTATAAAACACTGCTGCATACTTTCTGGAAGATTCAGGTGCATATTTAAGGAGCATATGAGCTTACAGCTCATGTCATATGTTTTGGCACCAGCACAAATGCTTATTATAGCCTAAAAATGGCAAATGAGACATGAGCTTTATAAACTTACCATGAGTGAAAGAGACTCCTTTAAATAGAAGGGAACTAGAAAGACGTTATGGAAAAAGCAAAAAAAGTGGAGACTATATATGTATTACTTGATGAAATAATATTGAAACTAGTTATGTGTTTTTATTTTATTATAGCAATCACTTATTCTGTAATATAGTGACTGGCATTAACCTGAAGAGGAGAAGAAAACAAGATTAAAAATTACAGTGACTTCTGTCCAAAAGATATTCCAAATTAAATCGTTTTATGCATGAATATTAAATTCAGTAATATTTTCTACAGTATTATAGAATATCTCCGTGCTAGGTGCTGTGGATACAGAGGTGAGTGATTTAGATGCTGTTTTTTTGGGCCTCCCTGGTGGCGCAAAGGATCAGATGCAACCTCTGAAGCTGTACACAGCCACTGGAGCACGGAGTTTAATCCCCGGACAGGGGGCTACCCACGTGGTGCAGCAGACCTCTCCTGACTCACCCGCTGCTCCCCTCAGCAGTGTATTTTGGTCAATCTGCCTGTTCTGTTCCCTGCTCTGTCTGGTCAATCCTCTCACCCCTGCACCTCTGGCCTGTACCCCAGTTCTATATGCATAAATAAATAAATATTTTTTAAATGCTGTTTTTCTTCAAGGAGTACATACTCTAAAAGAAGAGTGCATACTTCTAAAATAAAACAGATGAAGATAGATAACTTTCGTTATATGCAATGAATGATATAAAAGTAGTATATGTCAGAGAAATTTGGGGTTGCAGTGGATAAAAGCACCTACAAATCATTATGTTGCTATTACATAAAATATTTTTTTCTTTTTCTTTAGTTGGAGAACATCAATTGACAGGCCATAAAGTAGCAGTTAAAATCTTAAATAGACAGAAGATTCGCAGTTTAGATGTTGTTGGAAAAATAAAACGAGAAATTCAAAATCTAAAACTCTTTCGTCATCCTCATATTATCAAACTGTAAGTATTGTGGTACCTAGTCATGCAAGAAAACTGTGTTGCATTATATTTTATGAGTTTAAAAATAATTGTTTATCTTTAACCTTTTGCAAATATACCACAGGTCTATTTAAGGTCTTGTATTAAGCATCAGTTTCTTTAAACTCCGCTAATCCTTTCTTTTGTATACTTTTGTTTTAGAATTAAACATTATTAATTACTTCAAAATTATACTCTTTTCAAGTAATGAATACAGGCTTGAAATTTTTTCCTTGAAATTTTTTTTATTGCGGTGACATTGGCTTATACTACTGTATAAGCCAGCAGGGGTATGGTTCACACCTTTCCAGATGAATGTTACCACACCATACCCACCAACAAAATACCAATCATCCACCACAGTTCATTTGGTGCCCTGCTCCACCAAGTCTGGTAACCTGGGTTCTGTTGTCAGATTTTTCAGATTTGATTTGTTTTGGTTTTGTCTGTTTTTTTGTTTTGCTTTTTTATATGAGTCAAATCATCATGTATTTGTTTTTCTCTTTTTGCGTTATTGTGCTCATCATAGTACCCTCCAGTTTGGAAGTTGACTCTTTTCTCTAGTAATTACTTTGAAGGTCACTTAAGATGTTGATGCTTATTGATAGTGAACTAGTAAAGATTTTATGTTTAATGATAGTGTCCATGTAGTGCATCTTCCCAACATCTTAAATATATGGTTGGCTATTCAGAGGGGAGTTTTTTATTGTTGGGGGGGATGGGGGTGGTGTGCCATTGGGTGACCTGTGATGACTCAGTTCTCCTACCACTATCATGAAAACCTCATTCTTACTGTAAGCCTCAGTGTCATTTGATCTTTGCTTGAAAGTTCGCATGATCATAAGTAAACAAAAAATCAGGCCCTTGAAATTGCATGGAAGTACTTAATTATAAGGTATCATCTAGGACCTATATACCAAATGATTCAGAATGTGTATAAATAAGTTTTCAGATTTTTCACTGGAGTTAAAATACCATATGTGCACTCAGTGACTCGCTTCTCCTATTGTTTCCTGAATATGAGATTCTTTGTAGTGTTACCTGAAGATTAAATGTGTTTGCACTAGTATAATGCCTAATAGTTGATAAGCATTGGCCCAAAGCAGGAATTGGCAACCTACAAGCTGATTCCAGTCCTTTTTCATGATTCTGAATGATTCTCATTTAATTGAAACCTTCATTGCTTACTTCAACTCCATGTTAGTTAGTAATGACTGTATTCCTGGTAGTGGATGAATTCTGAAATACATCCCTTTGCTTTCCTTATTGAATGGCCACTTCCTGTAAGAGAAGAAAACTGGGATGGCCAGATAATCAGACTAAAAATAACACATGCCAGCATGAGAGTGGAAAAGGGAATGATCTCTGTCTGCCTTGTGCCGTGATCTTACCACTTTTAGAATGCCAACACTGAAAAAAAAACCCTGTGGAAATTTTGCCCAGAAGCATTAGCCCTACTTCCTGTTCTGTTCTGACAAACACAAATTAGATTTTATCAGTAGTTACAATTTTCATGAGGATTTAAAAGCTGATCTTTGATGTTATATCTACCAGTGTTTTTCTGCCTCCATTTCTCTATAATTGCTTCATTTTGGTTTAACTGATTATCACATTCTGATTTAAAATTATTTATTTACTGTTTTGTTTGGTGAAGGAGTTATAGAGCATTATCATAGTGGGTCAGAAAGTAATTCCTATATTTTTAATATATGCCATTTTGATGTGTGTGATATGGTATTTCTTTGTTTTGTGCCACATCTTTCTTATTGAAAGTGGTGATGAACATTTATTCATGTCTTTGGGCCTTCAGGATGTCCTTTTACATTCTGATTTAAAATTATTTATTTACTGTTTTGTTTGGTGAAGGAGTTATAGAGCATTATCATAGTGGGTCAGAAAGTAATTGGCAGAGCCTGGCTTCCAGCCTTGAGCTTTAATCCATTTGACTATCCATTGGTCTCTTGTATTCTGGACCTGAACTTAAAAAAATGAACTCATGTATTCTTTCCTCGGAACAAGCTTGTTGGCATTGACTTCAATAGTGTTAATGATTGAAGCTAAGAGAGAGAATGACCTGACCCTTTCAGTCGTCTTGTTTTGTGCGGTTCTGGACTAGCTGCTAAAAATAGTTTCCTCTTTACAGAATGGGACTCTAGAATTAGTAATAAAGTGTGAAAATGAATTTTACCATGATTGTGTGATTTCTCTATAAACTAAAATTGATGAAGGAAAAAAATAAGCAAAGAGGACTTAAAGGAAAATCCAAACTTTTCTATGAACTTAAAAATGATTGAATTGATTTTTGTCATGTTCTTCCTCCTTGTTTTTGGGTTTTTTTTGGGGGGAGAGAGGGGTGGAAGGTGTTTTATTTTTGTTTGTTTTTTAAGATTCCCAACCCCACCTTTTCCCTCCCCTTGTCCTTTTCCCACCCTCCTCCCTCTTAACCTCAGAGCCCTCAGGATTTTTACTGATGTCCACTGGATTTTAAAGTGTTTCACATTATTGAGCTGTCTGCTGTATAAATGCCCAGCATTTGTTTTTATGTGACTGAGCACATAATTCACTCAGATTTCTTTTACTTTGTTGAAAATGGCTACATTTATTATCCTTTCTTATGGCTGTGTAGTACTCTATGTTGTGGATATACCACATCTTCTTGACCAGATCATCTGTCAGTGGATATTTAGGCTGCTTCCATGTCCTAGCTGCTGTAAAGAATGCTGCTGTGAACATCATGGACATAAGGGTTTTTTGGTTGATGGTTTCCTATTCTGTGGGTATTTGCCCAAGAGTGGGTTGTATCGTTATTTTCCATCCTTAGCCTTTTAAAGTAAATCCAGATTGCTTTCCATAATGGTGGCACCAGTTCATAGTCCCACCAGCAGTGTTAAAGGTTCCTTTTCCTATATTTTTAATATATGCCATTTTGATGTGTGTGATATGGTATTTCTTTGTTTTGTGCCACATCTTTCTTATTGAAAGTGGTGATGAACATTTATTCATGTCTTTGGGCCTTCAGGATGTCCTTAATGGTGAATTGTTCACATCTACTGCCCATTGATTAATAGGGTTATATTTTATTGTTGAGTTCTATGCGTTTTTAAAACATACCTTGTATATTAGTCCCTTATCAGTATATATTGTGCAAATATTTTCTCCCATTCACTAGGGTGTCTATTTAACTATCTTGTATTTTCTTTCACTTTATAGAAGCCTTTTAACTTGAGGTAGTCTTAACTGTTTTTTTTGTTTTTAATTCCCTAGTTACAGAGTTGATTAACTGCAAATATCTTTATTCTTGATACTATGGAATGTATTGCCAGTATTTTCTTTAATTTATTTTTACTACGTCTTACATCTAAATCTGTACAAATTTTATCTGGAGTTTATTTTGCATATAGTATTAGTGAGTTATCCAACTTTGTTTTATGTGTGGCTTTCTAATTTTCTCACTATCATTTATTAAAGAAACTGTTTTTACACAATTTATGGTTATTATTTCATTGTCAGAGAGTAGATGATGGTATATGTGTAAATTTGTTTCTGGGTTTTCAGTTTTGTTTCATTGATCCATGTAGCTTTTTTTGTGCAAGTACCATGCTGTTTTTAATATTATTGTTCTACAATAAAGTTTGGAGTCAGGTGATGTGATAATTTCCGTTTATCTCCTTTTTTCCTCCCGATTGCTTTTGCATTTCAAGACCTTTTGTGGTTCCAGATAAATGTTGATGTTTTTTGTTTAGGTTCCTTGAAAAATACTGTTGTTATTTTGGTGGGGATTGTGTTAAGTTTGTATGTCATTTTAGGCAGGGTAGTCATTAATTTCCCATACACATCAGCATGGGATATCTTTCTATAGCTTAGCGTCATTATCTAAGACCTTTAACATTCTGTAGTTCTCAGTGTATAGGTCTCCTTTGTTAGGTTGGTTTTGACTTACTTTCTTTGAAGCAATTAGAAATGAAGGGCTTTTTTCTTACTTCTTGTTCATTGTATATAAAAAAAAACTATGGATTTTTAATGCTTATTTTGTAACCTGTCACTGTGCTGTATTTATTGTTTCTAGTAACTTTTTGGTGAAGTCTTTAGGCTTATCTATGTATGATAGGATATTATCTGCAGATAGTCTAGTTTCATTTCTTTTCTGACTTGGATTCTTCCCCTCGGCCCCCGTGTTTGCCTAATAGCTTTGTCCAGAATTTCTAGTGCTAAGTTAAACAGAAGTGGTGACAGTGGACATCCTTTTCTTCTTCTGAGCGATCTTAAGGGAAAGCTTTCAGTTTTTAACCATTGACTATTAGGTTTGCTGTTGGTTTGTGATATATCTCCTTTATTGTATTGTGGTAGAGTCTCTTCTCATCTTGTGTAGGATTTTTGTCACAAATGAGTGCTGAATCTTAAATGCTTTCTCTATTGATACTATATTTTTTATTTCTATTTTTCTTGATATGATATATTATACTAATTGGTTTACATGCATTAAGTCAGCTTAGTTTTAGTGTCTCTTACTGTCTTGTGCCCACTTCAGTTGTAGGCTATTTTTAAGCACTTTGATGCAGACTTCAGCATGACTTATATTTGATACGGGCTCACAGACTGGAAGTTGTTCTGTTTTCTTTCCTAACAGTCTTTTCCTGATGTGTTTGCTCCTGTTATTGGTAGGTATTTGAGCTCTAGTTTGTTCAAGAATTTCTTGTTTAGATTTTAGCTAGCCCTTGGGTGGGGTGGCAGGAGTTTTGAATAATCCAGCCTGGGCTTCAGCTAGTAGCTTCTTGTAGGGAAATCCAGTTCTCTGAAATGATTAAGGCTACACATCTCTTCTATATTAAGAACCTCAGGCTCAAGACAGTAGTCCTCCCCCTGGGTCCCCACCCCTGCAGCTCTTCAGCAATGCACCCTCTGTCCTGGGTGCCTGCTCACATACCCTCTTATTCACCGCAGTCTCAGAACTTCCAGGATACTCATGAGCCTGATTCAGTCAC